AGGTACCTGATGATGACCAAACCTTGTCGAAACGTTGTACATTTGCTGTTGCATTAAAGTTTCTCTTCATTACCCATTCAAGCCGTCTCCAGCCATTATTACACTTAGTATAAGTACCCATGGCATCGTAGCAAAGTCGGACTGCATTTAGTTGCGACATGCCTTGAACGTTATTAACGCGTGAAATATTGTTTGTTTCAGATATTCGCGCAAATCTACACAGAGGCAACCTACGCTGGACCTCCCGAATTTTGAATTGATAGATTAGAAGGAAAGGGAAGGCAGCTGGTCAACAACAACCACTGCAAACTCTGAAGCTAGTCTATTAGAATAATTGGATTTGACGGTCACTCTTGTCACGTAACCACACACCCCATAGCGCGAAGCGTGATTCTGAGGCAAAGAAACACAAACCATAAATCCTCGGACCTACTGTACGGCAAATTAGCAAACAAGCCACGCTCGGCCCGCGATGAAGAATATCGAATCGAATTAAAGTTGTTAGTCATTGAAGCCCACTGCATGACTATTCTACAGATCTGAATTTTATAGAATTAATGAATTTCAAAGTAATCTCTATTTAATTTTGTCACTGATTCAAACCAAGTGAATTTTCATTATTTTATAGTTCTGAACGTTATGTGATTAATGAAACTGAAAACAACCTATTTAAAGGCGTGACGTTGTTGTTCTATTGTTGAGAGCAAAGCTACACAATGGACTATTTGCACTCTGTCCACCAAGCGAATCAAGCTCCAGTTTTTAGCGTTGTAAGTCCGTAAACTTATTACTGACCTACAAGAGGATTAAAGATAAGATCTTAGATAAAATCCTACAAACGTATAATGTTAACACCAACAACTATAACTCCCACTGGACATGCAAAAACTAAGTATCGTAAATGTTACAGCAAGAGTAAAGGAAGGGGTGAAATTCTGCCGCTACTGAGTACCAGAACTTATTTTTAAGATAGTACTAGTAACGGGACTTTTTGCGCTACTTTATCATTTTATGTTTACACGTAGATTTTTTTTTCTTTTTCAAAAATAGGTCCACTTCACTCAGCTGTACTTTTTTTTTGAGAATTTCACCCCTGTGTAAAGTTATTAATTAGCATTTAAAATGACAAAACATGAAATATAACATTTCAGTATTATTATTCGAAACGCCCCCCCCCCAAAAAAAAAACGAAATTTTTCCAAGATAGTAAAATCTTTATGAATTTAGATTTGGTAAACAAGATTGCTTTATACAAGATTTTATGTTATTAAAAGCTATTGTTTTATATATCCTTTATTGTATGCAATATACAGTTTCAGAATAACAATCTTGAAAGTAATTTTGTACCAAAAAAGCCTGTTCAGCGTTGTTATCACAATGCCAAAATAGGTTTCTGTTTGTTTTTTTCGGCCTCGGCATAGTTTATATATTCTTTAAATGTGGCTTAAAATATATATTTTGCTGAATAGTTCGGAAGAGTAGCATTAATGCTACATATTATTCAAATCGTATGTAAATAATTTCACTGTTGTGAGTAAAAGACAACTAACAACACCATATACTTAATGTAGCTTGTTGTAAAGAAGAATGTTTTATTAG